TGTTCTTCATTCAATGCGATTATTTGAATTACTCATCTGACTACAGAATGTTACGCAGCATAATCCCGACCGTGTTCTAGTATAAGTGAAGACACTTTGTTATAAAGTACGCCCCGCGTTCACAAACTGTTGACCGTCACTTCTACTCCCCTTAAATCTACACTTGACATCTTAACAAAAGACTAACCGACTGTATGAAAACTGACTTCAAAAGGATGTTATGGAGTGGAGTCATTGCGAGGAAGAAGCTAAAGTCCGAAATGATAATCGTAGAGTACGATTAACTGATGATAAATAGTCTAGACGAATGACAGAAATAATGCCTTCCATCAGTCAGTCAGTCAGTCAATCAGTCAGTCATTCAGTCAGTCAGTCAGTCAGTCAGTGAGCTGTACAGCATGCGTGAGTGGAATCAGTGAGTCACAATGATAGGATATTGAGTGTTTGGGGAGATGATACTGAGCATGATACTGCAAAATAGAGTAGAAAATGCATGTCTGAGTTGAGAAAAGCCACACTTCAATCAACACAGCAATAAAGAAGGATTGTTTCAATTTTAATCTTCTGTTTATGTATAATAGGCCTAGGTTGTACTGTTGCTATAACAAATTACTTATCATTCCTAGACGCCAATTCTTCCTATTGTTCATTATTATGTGATATGGAAATGTAAGCAACAACGTATGATGATGATGATAATAATAATAATAATAATAATAATCATTATAGTAATAATGGTTATGGTGGCAGTAATAATGGTAATAATCATACCTTGTGTGGAACCGACACGTAGACATCGGATATTTCAATAATGAAAACGCTCAATAGTTTCTATTTTCCCCATTTATTTCTTTGTAAATGAATTTGTTTTGAAGCATTTACTTCATTGAACTATTTTTCGTGTAATATTAAGAGAAGAGTAATAATAATATTAATGATAATAACGACGATAATAATCCATTTCGTGGTGAAAATCTGATTACACAGTATATGTGATCTTTCATGGAGTTTGGATGATCTGTGAGACATTAACTTAGCAAGTTTTGTCCCATCAAGTGTGCATTTGCAAAATGTGTCTTCAATTTTCCACCTAACTAACAATGATCATTAGAAACTACTTTTAACTCTAAGTAGAGCACAACACAAAAGCCTAGCGATGATTACTTTTGATAGGCTGAAGGTATAATTTATCATGAAGCCAACAAGTGAACGGCAACGTGCTCATAAAAATCGAAAATGTAGTAAAATTCATCGATAATGTGAATTTCTCAGCGTTTCACATGTTTGCTTGCAGAAGGGGGTGAGGCTTTTATGTAATTTCATTGTTTCCAGAAAATCTAATTCTACTCACTAACAGCTCAATATTTCCGATCTGTGGTCACTCATATTATAGACATAATCTAGTAGGACATCGAATTCGAAAGAAATTCATAATTTACCCACTCCTGCAGGTAACATATCACAATGTTTACTTCGACGTGAAGATGTCGAAGCACAAATGATATATAAGAAATTATAACAAAATTATTCCTCGCTGGAATCGGAGATGCGAAATGACACCAGTTGGTGAAAGCCTTCGGGTAGCCATTCGGCCGATGTGTCTCCCCTTCTCTCAATGACAGCTAAAGTAAACGTGGGGACATGGAATGTCCGCACCATGTCTGAACCCAGTAAGGCAGCCCAGATTGCAAACGAGATGAGAAGGTATCACATTGAAGTGCTTGGGATTTGCGAAAGCAGTTGGAATGGGAGTGGACTCTCCAAACTGTCAACCGGAGAATCAATAGTCTACTCCGGTCACCCAGACGACAACCACGAGCACACTGAGGGAGTGGCTATCATGATGTCCCCAACAGCATCGTAGGCTCTCATGCAGTAAGAACCAATCTCCTTCTGCAGTATCATGACAACAAGGTTCAACTCAAAAGGAAAGAATGAAGGTCACAATAATACAATGCTACGCTACGCACCTACAAATAATGCAGATGAAAAGAAAAAGGAGGAATTCTACAGACAACTTCAATCAACTCTGGACAAGACGTCAGTTGGCGATATCGAAATTCTAATGGGCGACATGAATGCCAAACTGGGTGGGGACAACACAGGAAGAGAACTAACCATGGGTCAAGAAGCGCTTGGTGAGGTGATGAACGAGAATGGAGAATTGTTTGCAGAATTCTGCGCATTCAGCGATTTGGTGATTGGAGTCAGGCAGTGTGTTTAAGTTCAAGGATATCCACAAAGCGACATGGATTTCACCAGACACCAGGACACACTACACTAAAAATCAGATCGACTTCATCTCAATGTGAAGAAAGTGGAGATGGAGACGCAGCCTACTTAACACAAGATGAACAAAGGGAGCAGATGTAGGCTCAGACCACTATCTAGTGCAAGGAACCTTCCAAATCAAGTTAAAAGCCTTCAAGGAAGCTGGTGATAGACCACAGTTCAAGTACAACACTCGGAAACTGAAGGACAAAACTACAGAGGAAATCTTCACAGCAGCCATCAAGACAAAATGGGAGACATCGAGCAACATCCCTGAAGAAACCTGTGTGGAAGAACACTGGAAGTCTTTGAAAGAGATGTGGAAAGAAACCTGCACAACCGTATTAGGAAAGAAGAAAAAAGAAGACAAGGAATGGATCTCGACGGATACCTGGAGGCTGATAGAGGAGAGGAGGATGGTGAAGCAGAAGATAAACCAGTGCAAGGATGCTCAACGACAAGAGGAACTGAGTACAATGTACAAAACACTACACTGGACAAAGAAGCGAAGAAGAGTGCACGGAAAGACAAAAGACACTTCTACGAAACACTGGCAAGTGAAGCAGAACAGGCTGCAGGTAAGGGAGACAGAGATCTGACAACATTGTATCAAATAACCAGGTTGCTATCTGGGAAGAAAAGGGATCAACACACATGAAACTAATAAAAGATGATGACGGAAAGTTGATTACGAAAGAAGAGGAGCAGAGGAAACAATGGGCGGACCACTTCAAGAAGCTCTTGAATCCACCACCACCACCACCTGCACTTCTTCCAGAAATACCACCTGCAGCCGCTGAATTACAAGTGAACATAAATCCTCCAACAAAAATGGAAGTCCTAAACGCCATAAAGCTACCGAAATGTGGGAAAGCAGCAGGACCAGATGGGATCCCGCCAGAAGCACTGAGAACAGACGCAGAGACAACAGTGGACATGGTCACACCACTATTGCAGAAGGTGTGAAAGGAAGAGAAGGTACCTGCCGGTTGATTGGAAGAAGGGTTACCTTGTCAAACTGCCGAAGAAGGGAGACCTCAGTGTTTGCAAGAACTGATGCGGAATCATGCTCCTGTCCACTCAATGCAAGCAAAATATTAAGCCGCACCATCCTGGAGAGGCTAAAGGATGCACTGGATTCAAAACTACGACCGGAAAACGTAGGCTTCAGGAAGTACAAATCATGTGCAGACCAAATTGCAACGCTACACTACGCATCATCATAGAACAGAATTTAGAATGGCAGTCAACTCTCTACCTCACCTCAACTTCATCGACTTTGAGAAGGCTTTTGACAGCGTCGACCGAGAGGTAATTTGGAAACTGCTTCATTACTACGGAGTACTGCAAACCTTTATCAGCCTCATTCAACAACTATATGAAGACGCCACATACCAGCCAAGTAATTCACAATGGGAAGCTCAGTGATGCTTTTGAAGTGAAGACAGGAGTGAAACAAGGCTGCCGCCTACTATCACCCATGATAATCCTGATTGTGGTCGACTGGACTGGATCATGCAGCAGCAAACAGTGGGGAGCGAGAAGTTGGAGATACTCTGGCTGGACAGTGGAAAAGAACCTAGAAGATCTGGATTTCGCCAGTGATGACTTGTGCCTGATGTCACATAAACTTGAAGATCTACAGGCAAAAACTAACAAGTTGGTAGAAGAGGCAGGGCAGCGAAGACGGGACTTCAAGTGAATATAGAAAAGACAGAAGTGATGAAGATACCGCACCACCACCATCAACAACAACAACAAACTCCAGTCACCATCACCATGAACGGGAGAAACTTGAAGAAAGTAACCTCCTTCACCTATCTAGGCATGCAGCACTGTTTCAACTACAGGCGGCACAGGCACAGACGAGGATGTCAAAGTCAGAATCGGAAAGCAAGACAGGTGTTCATTAGCCTGAAACCAGTATGGAGATCTTCTGCACTCAGCATGTGGAACAAGATCCGGATTTTCAACACCAACTCAGTCAAGTCAGTGCTTCTGTATGGTTCAGAGACTTGGCGCGTTACGGAAGGCATTTCCAATAAACTACAGACATTCATCAACAACTGCTTACGCTGGCCCGATAGTGAAGATCAGATGGATTGCCAGAAAGAATAAGCAACAAGGAGCTCTGGGAACGAACCAACCAAGAACCTATCGCTCAACAAATATGCACTGGAAAGAAGTGGAGATGGATTGCGCATACACTGAGAAGGCCGACTGGGGACATCACGCGTCAGTCCAGTTGCTCGAGTGGAATCCCCATGGGAAGCGACGAGTTTGGCGTCCTAAGTGAGGGTGACATGGAGACGATCGTGCGAAGAGGAAATGACAGCTTGTGGGCAGTAGTGGAGCCAGGTTGAAAAGATTTCGGAGAAGAGAGTGGAGTGGAGACGTGCTACTGAAGCCCTATGTTCCATTAGGAACCCAAGTCACTAATAATAATATAATAATACCAGTCAATCAGTCAGTCAGTGAGCTGTACAGCATGCGTGAGTGGAATCAGTGAGTCACAATGATAGGATATTGAGTGTTTGGGGAGATGATACTGAGCATGATACTGCAAAATAGAGTAGAAAATGCATGTCTGAGTTGAGAAAAGCCACACTTCAATCAACACAGCAATAAAGAAGGATTGTTTCAATTTTAATCTTCTGTTTATGTATAATAGGCCTAGGTTGTACTGTTGCTATAACAAATTACTTATCATTCCTAGACGCCAATTCTTCCTATTGTTCATTATTATGTGATATGGAAATGTAAGCAACAACGTATGATGATGATGACGATGATGATGATGATGATGATGATGATGATGATGATGATGATGATGATGATGATGATGATGATGATGATGATGATGATGATGATGATGATGATGATGATGATGATGATGATGATGATGATGATGATGATGATGATGATGATGATGATGATGATGATGATGATGATGATGATGATGATGATGATGATGATGATGATGATGATGATGATGATGATGATGATGATGATGATGATGATGATGATGATGATGATGATGATGATGATGATGATGATGATGATGATGATGATGATGATGATGATGATGATGATGATGATGATGATGATGATGATGATGATGATGATGATGATGATGATGATGATGATGATGATGATGATGATGATGATGATGATGATGATGATGATGATGATGATGATGATGATGATGATGATGATGATGATGATGATGATGATGATGATGATGATGATGATGATGATGATGATGATGATGATGATGATGATGATGATGATGATGATGATGATGATGATGATGATGATGATGATGATGATGATGATGATGATGATGATGATGATGATGATGATGATGATGATGATGATGATGATGATGATGATGATGATGGTAATAATAATAATAATAATACTAATAATAATGGTTATGGTGGCAGTAATAATGGTAATAGTCATACCTTGTGTGGAACCGACACGTAGACATCGGATATTTCAATAATGAAAACGCTCAATAGTTTCTATTTTCCCCATTTATTTCTTTGTAAATGAATTTGTTTTGAAGCATTTACTTCATTGAACTATTTTTCGTGTAATATTAAGAGAAGAGCAATAATAATATTAATGATAATAACGACGATAATAATCCATTTCGTGGTGAAAATCTGATTACACAGTATATGTGATCTTTCATGGAGTTTGGATGATCTGTGAGACATTAACTTAGCAAGTTTTGTCCCATCAAGTGTGCATTTGCAAAATGTGTCTTCAATTTTCACCTAACTAACAATGATCATTAGATACTACTTTTAACTCTAAGTAGAGCACAACACAAAAGCCTAGCGATGATTACTTTTGATAGGCTGAAGGTATAATTTATCATGAAGCCAACAAGTGAACGGCAACGTGCTCATAAAAATCGAAAATGTAGTAAAATTCATCGATAATGTGAATTTCTCAGCGTTTCACATGTTTGCTTGCAGAAGGGGGTGAGGCTTTTATGTAATTTCATTGTTTCCAGAAAATCTAATTCTACTCACTAACAGCTCAATATTTCCGATCTGTGGTCACTCATATTATAGACATACTCTAGTAGGACATCGAATTCGAAAGAAATTCATAATTTACCCACTCCTGCAGGTAACATATCACAATGTTTACTTCGACGTGAAAACGTCTTCAAATATGAAACCTGATAACTGCAGTTCACACTTCGCAGATATCTCTAACTGATGGTTCACATATCGAGAGAGGATATCAGTCACACGATTGGAAAACTTCTATAAAGTGACTCACAAATCGTTCTGTGTATTGAGTGAGCGAGCAGATGATCATTCGATTTTGGTCGCTGATACTTCAATTTTCGACTTCCTGGACCTGAATATCAAGTGATACTGTTCAATCCAAGTCTGCGTGTTATGAGTATAGGTGGAACCTATTCTGATACAAGTCTCCAAGTAGCAAACGGAGGTGCGTCAGGACTTTGCTATCCATTCCTCAACCCTGAACAGTGCTATATCGGAAATCTGCAAGCTCTGGTCAACGTGGTAGAGCTCTATGTTATTCTGCCCTGCTTTAGCTTCTCTGCAATGACGTTGACAACATCAATACTGAAAATACTGTGGCATCTCCATTTCTAATACGGGTATGAAAGTGAATTGTAGCAGACGTTGCGTCTAACTACCTTCAGGAACTTATGCAGGTCTTTGACTACTATCCACAGCTCAAGTGAATATGTGTATTATAAGGATATTCATCCATATGATTACACAACGCTAAACCACCTGAAATGTGACATGGACATGAATAAGCTTTCGAGTGATCCCCAATCGTCCCTAAATTATTTTTGAATGGACACCTGTTGAGTGATTTGAGAATTAGAGTTTGAGAATGACGAAGACAGTCAGTGTGTGAAGTTGGATATTAGGCGAAATCCGATGGATTGCAGTGTGCGAAACTTGTGAATTATATCAGAAATCAGCGATGACTCAACTGCTTTCCCACTTAATGGGTGCTGCGAACTTACTTGGAATCAGATGGTAAGGTTGACGGAGTCAAAATAAAGTTGTGATCGGGTTTCCGTTGTGTAGCTCAATACTTGACCACGTTTCAATTTGAACACCCTGACCATCATTCTGTCATCCTCGTAAATGCAGATACGTGAAAACCTCGCAGAATTAGCGAATTCGGTGAGAGAAATGAAATATGAGTAGTAAATGAAGGTTGATTGAATAAAACGATCATCACCCAAATGGTGAATAAGCCTATCCATAATCAGCGACTTGCTTTCTATTCCATAACTCGAAGCTTCCACAACAGCCGCACATTCTCCTTCAAAGTTGTGATGATATGTTTATCGGGACAAGAAAGAGACATGATGAGTAGGCGAGTGTGACATTTTTATCCTTTATTTATTGGGCAATACCAAATCTGTGAAGCATCATCTGGATCAATTATCTTATCGACTTGAACTTAAACAATTGCACCACCCTACACCCACTGAACCACAAGTTAGCCGACTAGGCAGTTTCATGTATAATTATGATCTTGTTATTCTCACATTTGATTGAATATGATCCTTCTACAGTTGGAACTCCTTTCTGAGGTATATGCGGTATGGAAGCATTTCTAGGTAGTTCATCTTCAACGAACCATAGCACTTATTGTTGATACCAGTCGTTAGCAGCAAGTTCTGTCATTCTGACAGCTTTCTGACTGAACAGCTCAAAATATTGCAGTCTGCAACCAAGTATGGTCCATGAGAGATCCAGTCACCTCTCTTCAAACTTACTTTCTCACAATTTGAAAAGTCTAACTGAGAAATGTATGTTGAGACTAATTCTGACTGGCATAACCACGATTCATCAACCATCACTTTCAGTCGTCACTCGGATTCGAACCAGGACGTCTACACTTCTCTATAGAGCTCAGACCAGATGTTGGGGACTTCACGGACTGACAACACGTCGTACTCCGATCACGTCTAACCATTCTCCAATCTCAACGTAATTCAGCCTATATTGTAAATTGGGAGTGTTGGTGGTTCGGTGTTCATTGTGCATGTTCCAGTCTCCTTGGCTCGTGAATTTTCGCTACTTCATTGAGTTGCAATGAAGGAAATAGTTTAGAGGATGATATCTGGAGCAACCTAGAAATTCTTTGGTTTCTATGTAGAAAGTCATTCATGTCCCCTATAAAAGAACATGAATATGTAGGCTTTCCAGGAGTTCCTGACAGTTGTGCTTATTTGCATGTAGTTGTCTTCATGTGAGGCTACATCTTACAGGTTTCATGCATTTACACTAAGGTGTCAATAAGTTGTTCATATCTGAAACTGTCGTCACTGTCTGACGCTAAATCCCATCTCACTTGGAAAGGGATGATGCAGTCACAATCAGTGTGTTATATTTGTAGTGAAAATATGTGATGATAATAACAGATATTATATGCCTGTCTGTTTTGAAACATAGTTCATGCACCGAATCCTGGTTCTATATTGAAAGGAAGTCTGTGTGTCGATTCATCACAATTATTTAACACCCTGGACCCACTGATTGGAAGTCGAGTATTTGGGTCAATCAGCCTAAACTCTTCAACATTTGATGAGAAATTGGTGATGACTTCGTGTAAGAGATCCATTGGAGACGGATTTCAAATGAATCACATTCAATGTGTTCAGTCATTACATTCTAGTAGTAAAATTGTGCATATCTTTAGTACATATATTTCAATGCATACATGTATACATACTGAACTTGAGTTTTATTGAGATGAGATAAACTTATTGACTGGTTAGTATTCACCATATGACATAAACCGACGTTGAGCATCTGTGGTGCGTTTTCAAAGAGAAAAAGAGATGGTTTTTAGGTTAGCTTATTTCTCACTGTGTGACTGAAGAATACCAATGTATCGGAAAGATGCGTTATACGATTTTGAGCCATTTGTCGTATTTTCAGGTCAATGGGGACTACTTTAGAAGTAGTAGTTGAATGAAAGTGCAAGAAATCACGTTGCCTGTCATTAATTCACGTTATTTATCCCTTCTTTATCTTCTTTCTTCATGTGTTCATATTTTACAGAGTTGGAAGGGACTTGTAATTAACAACTCACGTGGGGCTATGAGTCGGTATTAGTATGCTAACATACTACTCCACCCAAAGCCAACTGCCAAGTCCCAAGTGTTTCATACTCAACTGAAAGGAAGATAGCCTTCTCTATTGAACAGCGAGGAAGTTACACAATCATTCCACTATCACTGACGTTGACTCTCAGGTGGTTGAACGGAATATTTAGTCAAATATTACCAACGAGGTGTCGCTAAACTACAGCACATGTCCTGAGAATCCAATTTTATTGGGAGCTAACTGATTAAAAATGTTTACTACAGACAAAACACCAATCAGATGAGTTTAACTATTTCATTAAAACTATTACAATACCATTACTTTAGTTCTCCCACTGCAGCCTGTGTGTGTGTGTGTGTGTGTGTGTATATCCATCATCAGTTATATATGTCCATGGCATACGCCTTATACACTTCATATCAAATGAATTCATTCTCACAGCAAATCTCAACTCATCTACAGTTTCAGAAACACATCCACTTTCCAAGTTCATCTGCGCTTCTTCTAATAATTTAATCACGAATTGATTCGTTTGTTTGACACTCACACACACATCATATATATGTCAAAAATTTGAGAATATTCATTTGTGCTTTCCTACTTGCATAATCATTATACTGAATATAAGATGTGTGAACCAACTGAGGTGGGAGGACATGCTCTTATCTATTCGGGAATAGCACTGGAAGAAGTCAAGTATGCTTCAATAAGTTTGTCATTTGTCAATTCAATATTCAATCCACTCTTCATTTATCTAATATTGAATATATCACTACCTGGTCAATTGCTTAGTTTGTTAATTATGCTGCAGATAACATTTGAATGGCTTAAATCACTTGGTGAAATCATACACTTCTTTTGTCCAGTGATCAAACGCACACCAGAATTGTGGTTCAATATCCTTATATGTCATATGTGGAGTAGTACATTCATCTACAGTCTACTTGGATTATTTTGTAAACAGAATGTTGTTAGTATGTTGATTGAAAGATGCTTTTATACTCTGATGCCACAAAGAGATCTAATATATTATCCCAAGACAATAATTGCATATCATGGATTCACTCTACTCTATTTACTAGCTATTAATATGGGCATCACCATAAATGTACACGTGACACCAGATGGTTCGTGTGTACTAGATATTTATGGAATAAATCCACAGTCACAAAATGCTGATTTCGCCTTCACTTTATTGACAATTATCTTGACAATATTATTACCTATTCTCATACAATTGATATCCTTTAGTATTATATTTTGGAGAGCATATAAGCATCAGAATAATCGTAGATTGATCAATTCACCAAGTGAACATATTCACAACAGTCGACAAAATAATATCACAATCATGATTATCATTTGGTCTTTGATGTCAATGGTGTTGAATTGTCTTGATTTATTCAAGACACTTCTCTTACTCCATCAAGGTTATTCCTATCTGACACGTTTAATGATCATCGTGAATGATTTTCTACGATCAGTAGAAATGTTGTGTCATTTGTTTACACTAGTAACTTGTGTAGAATTCATAAAAGCTAAATTCCTTGCTATCACCTCATATTTGTTTCGGCGAAATTAGAGAGACTAAGAGGATTTAGTGACTGAGTGCTGAACTTTTGTGTTACATAGATAACTGTGTGAAACACTTAGTAGATTATTGATTTATCAAGTGAAAATTCATGATGAATACTTCCCTACTTTTCTTGTTATTACTGTTGTTCATATTTTTACTATTTGTCTGTTTTAAGATGGTTTGAAAAATGCATTATTCTCTTCTAGAGAAGTTTTAATGTCTTCAGAGTATGTTTGTACATGTGGTATGTAATAAGTGCCGTGAGAAACTGATTTTTAACGGAATTATACAACTATTTTGTTGAATATTTTAAAAAGATTCCCCATCATCTTCGAAATACATTAATGTACAGTGCTCATTGGTGACAAGCTTCGACACGAATACTTCGAAGTTCTAATGAGAAAAAGAGACTTGTGTGGTCTTCGATTCGGAATTGAAGCGAAC